GTGTTCCCGTGGCAAGGGACTTAGCATCACCGTGATGGGGTTCCTCTCCAGATGGGCCTTCGCGGCGAAGCGCTACCGAGCTCTAAAGGGATACGTAATCAGTCATGTGTCATAATCGATGAGGTGATCTGTCCGATCATATGGTCGGGGCAAAGATCACTTAGCATCGCAGCGGATTGAGGGTTGTTGCATTCTTCATGTTGGAAGGAGTGTTCCCACTGCAGTCGTCAGGTTCTCGCAACGGTTCCCCGACGAGAGTCTATCCACAGTGGCGTCCTCTGCGCTGTCAGCACTTACGTCCTTCATGAAGAGGCAGAAAGTTTCGAATGCGCCTCTTGAGCAAGAGATGATTCCCTGAAGCAGGTTCTCACAAGGTCCAGAGGCTAGTTGGGTTAGCGGGGCATCCGAGCCATAGTGGCGGATAACTCCGGACCCTAGGGTGGTTGGCTGTTGTCGACCGGTAGAAGGGTCTGGCGGCCTGTGGATCTAACCCTGTGTCTGTCCGCGTCTGTCACCCGCGGGAGGGCTAGTTCCGGGCTCCTATAACCTGCAAAACCCACAACTGAGTCAGATACAAACACAAGACGTGAACTTGGATATCTCACTAAAATGCAAAAGGAACAGAAATATTATTTTACTCAGTCAATAAAGATCAGCGCAAACGCGCAACATCGTATCTCAGTGCAACCTCGCGCACGCCGGCCCAAGGGCCCAGTTTGTGTTGAAACTGAGTGTACCATGTACTTCGCTAAACCCCACGATCAATGTGGTGTCGTCGGCGCCGCTCCCGTCGGTCACAAGCCCGGAGTAGCATCGCAGTACATTGAGCCATCTACTTTTGGTTTGAACCCTCGCAGCTGTTGGTAAAGACAGTCCCAGTCTGTCCGATCCAGCCTGGCCTGATTGGGTCCAATCTGTCCGGTCTGACCCGTCTAGTCTAGTCTGGTCTCGTCAGGTCTGTTCCTGGTCCAGTCCGGTCTGTCTGGTCTGTTTCAGGCCAGCCTGGTTTATCTGCTCCAGATCTGATCTGGGCTCGTCAGGTCCTGTCCGGTCTGGCCCGGTCCGGTTTCTCTCTCAGGTCCGTTCCATTGGCCTGCGGGTGACCCACTACCCCGAGTCGAGCGGTTCAGCTCGCTCATGTAGGCTGCTGCAGTTCAACTGTCGAGCTTGCCTTCCCGTTCACGGTGCGTCAACATCCGTTGACTCCATCGCCCCCTTCCCGTTGATTCTTCAAAGTCCGTTCTTTCGGTTGTGGCTTTGCGGAGTGGAAAGGGAGAGTGAAAATCCGGTTACTCCGTTCTTGCGTGCCAGTAATTAGATGACGTGTCATTGGTTTCCTTTCACGCTGAACTTCCCAAACCTGTTTCAGTAGATAGGGGCAGTGAAATCTCGTAAGTCCATTCATGAGTATTCCTGTCGTTTACCCGTGCTTGATAGAGTCTCTTCACTTCGACATCTAGAAAACAAGTCGCGCGGCGTATATGAAAGTAGACAATCGTGATCTCGAGTCAGGGGCGGAATTACGACTCGATACACACCAAGTCAGAGCACTCCGGGCTTGCAAATGACAATGGCAGAATAATCTCGCCATCATCATCGAAGAGCCACCTCTCTTTCTCTCTCTAGCTCGCTCGCTCTCCCCTCGCACGCAATCCATCTGTCCCCATAGATTCCCGCTGCCCCGACTGTCACTGCGCTCTCGCTCACAAAGCTTTCCCCTGGACGAGCTCCTCTCTCTCCTCGTGTGCACTGCTCGTGCGTTTACACGAGTTTGGTTGTGAATGAATCTGGCGCACGTCAGAGGCCCGGTTCATTCGGGTGCTTTCCCTCTTTCTCCCTTTCTCTCACGTTAGCGCAACATTTCCTACCTGCGCAATTCCTTTCCCCCGATCCGCGCGCTCGTCTGGTTTTTCCCCGAGAGACAGTCCTAGCGTGCAGCTTATCCCGCGCGATCCTTATTTATCCCCCGCACGTGGGTTCGTTCATCCGTGCGCAATCCCAAGCCCGTTGCGTAACCACTAATGAACCCGCTGCTACTCTGAGTGTCACCGTGCAAATCCCAGATCCGTCCCGTAACGACTAACATGATAGAGGTAGTGTATATCTCCATGCTCTCGCGCTAGATTCATCCAATTTTGCACATCCTATCGATGGGGGTATTAGTGAATATTTCCATGTACTCGCGGTAGACTCATCCGATTTTGCTCATCCTATCTATGGGCTTAGTAGTGTATATTACCATGTACCAGCGGTAGATTCATCCGATTTTTCTCATCCTATCAACGGCGTACCATGAGGCCAACCGCGAGGATGAAGGCTTTGCCTCTCTCTCTCTCTCTCTCTCTCTCTCTCTCTCTCTCTCTCTCTCTCTCTCTCTCTCTCTCTTGCGCAAATCACGCTCCTTTAACTCACGCGCTTCTTCTTCAACTCCGCGTGAAGGTGCGTGGCTTGGCGCACTGTTACACGCTGTCCTATTTCGGTATTTCCCCTCGACGCAGAGCGTTGCTCGCGGTTCCAAAGGTTCTTTGTTTCGAATGAACCTGGCTGCAACTCGGGCTAGGAGCATTCGTTCTTTTCGATGATCAGATTTTCCCCTCCGCTTTTGGCTTGCGCTATCTCTCTCTCTCTCTCTCTCTCTCTCTCTCTCTCTCTCTCTCTCTCTCTCTCTCTCTCTCTC